GTAAATGATAATAAAGCTATAACTCTCACTTTTCATCAATAATATCTCAAATTTTTTTATAAATCCCACTTCTTATCATAAGTTATGGCAATCAGCTCATTCTTTTCATCCACTGCAATATGAAATCCATTGCATCTTTTTTCTCAGCATATACCATCCTCAAAATCTATACTAACAGCAAAATTGTTGTAATAGCATAGTGTACACTCTGTCAAAATTTGACATTCAAAATAATCTTCCTAACCAATGTTTAAAATTGCGTATTCGGGTATTGAGGCGTTTTTCATTCGTGAGGCGAGGCGTAAATCTCAAGGCGTTTTGAGGCGTAAGCCTCAAAATCAAAAAATTGCATAAACATAAAATGATAAATTTTTTAAATACTAATGAAAGAATAATATAAAACATAAAAAAGCATAAGATATGAAGTGAAATCAAAATATCTCAATAATAAGACAACATGAAATATAATTCAACTCTAAATTCTATCTTTCCCAAATCCCAATATTCTTTTCATTAACATATAATTCAAATTTCTAAAAATAAATAGCAATGACATATCACATAAGAACTCATAAATCATCAGCACTGTCATCACTAAGGGGTTCTTCATTTGAATCATCATTATGATGAACTGCTCTCTCATCTTCCTCCTCTCCTATAGAGTCCAATGTCGGGCATTTACTTCAAGATTTATGTAAGTTTTAATATATATAGCGTGAGGCATAAGCCTCATGCCAGTGAGGAGAGGCGGGCCTTAAGGCGGGCCTCAACCAAGTTGAGGCGCAAGCCTCATAACAAAAACTCGAGGCGTAAGCATAGAGGCGTTTTTTACTGGAATTGCGCAAAGGCGGGCCTCAAGGCGAGCCTCATATTGCGCAATTTTAAACCATGTTCCTAACTTCTTTCCCCTTAGGTTTTTTTTTTTCCAAGTACAACTCAACTACTGTATTGAAGTGAACATAGCCCCTAAAGGCAGACTCGCTTCCGACCTGTTTTGCAAAGTTAAATAAATAGTAGCAAATCTTATTGCTACAGACTTTAATATTTCTTTCTTTGAAAACTTTCTAATAAGTGTCAAAACCTAAGAGTGATTATATATAGAAATTTATTTATCTTTTTTCCTTCAATTAATGTATTCTTATGTTGTGACAGCTCCCTAAAATTTTCAAGGAATAGGTATATACAATATGCTACACATTGTGTCGAATATAAGTGTTTCTTCTTCTCCGTAAGTATTGTATATGCTGCCTTATAAGCACTGACATCAAGTGCTCTCCAATTTCATCAACAACACTATAAAGTATTCCAAAAAGAAATTTAGCATCTTTTACCTAATCAGATGTTTCAATAGACTTCAACAATATTGTATTATAAAGTTATTGATCAGTACATTTATCAAGGCTCTATTATTTATATTTGAGCATTCATCATAATATGATAGTTACCTCTATCTAGCTCCAATTTCTCTTGATTACCCGATGCTTTTTTAGTGCTTGTCAGCTTCTTCAAAACTCATGTCCTCAAATCATAGATGAGGTTTCAACCCAGACCCATAAGCTACAACAAAATGAATCATCTAGTAGTGCAGGGGAGGTTATAATGCTAAAAGGATAGCATTCACATTAAAAAAAATCTTCCTATGTCCATGAATACAGGTGTTAATACCTCCCTAGTTGTCTCCGAGGATAGTTTCTATAATGCAGAAGGCCTAAACTCCCTATATATCTTTCACCAAGTTCATCATGTCACTCCATGGGACCCCTTACATCCCTATAGGACAGGTGTTGCAATAAGAAAGATGAGTCTCGGCCATTACGCTATCATTGAACTATCATTGAACTGGCCAAAATCAACTCTAGCATTGAATTGTTGTTTTGCTAGAAGATTTGATATTGCTGACTTATTCATATACGGTTTGACTTTGTCCTTCACCATACCAGACACTTCGACACATGGTGCCACATTCTTATGAAATCTAGATAGGAGCTTATTCATCCTATTTACACCACCCTTCCCCATCTTATCACAATAATTATATTTCAAGTGAACAAATATCTTGTCACTGCCTCCCACATCAACTTGAATGTTATGTTTCCACATCGCACCCTTCAAATGAATCAACATGATTTTTTTCTTGACTCTAACCATCCTCTACGAAACACTAGATTGACACATATGATATGAAGTAGTGAACAATAATTATATTCAAGTAAATAAAAAACCTACTTAAATAACCAAAATAAGACATAAATTAAAAAACATTAGGATTTCAAAATTTTCAAGAATTTTTTTTAAAGAAAAGAAAGAATACTTGGGGATGAAAGAAGATTGGTAATAGGAGAAAGGAAAGAATGGCAGCAGCATAAGGCGCTCGGAGTTTGCTGGCGGCAGTTAAAAAGAGTTGTTTGAATTGAAGGAGTGAAAGAGTTTCCATTCTTGTGTTCAACACTTAGTCGTGCGAGAGAATGGACTCTTAAGAAATTAGGGATTTTTAAGTAGAAATTGATTTAGAAAAAAAATGCTGAAGGCATGCTCATCAAGCCAAAGAGACAAGGCATACCTCCGCCAATCCAAGAAGTACACATCATTATCCTATCTTGAGTCATTTTTAAGCAACATTGCACAGATGAACGCCTCTTATTGCATAATTTTAAACAACCTATAAATAAGTTAAATTTCTTACAATGAAATCAATAAAAGAATTTTTCCAAAAAATGCCTTCGTCCTTACCTCTCCCTTTGCTTAATCAATCAATCTTTCACAAAATTTCAAAATAATGGGTAGAGTACCTAGGCTATTGTAACATGTTCAACAAGGAAGCAGGTACTAAAGTTATTGAACCAAATCATTAAAACCTACCAAAATAGTCTTGATGCTAGAATTGTAAAAAAAAAAAAAGACCATCGAGACGAAACTTTCTACAAAACAGAGTATGTTCTTAATTGCTGATTAGTACACCCTAAAGGTAAAAACACCAATAATAGATGGTGTCCAAGAGACAATAGAGCAGCCCATCCTAGCCTCTTAATTGTTGATTAGTATCAATTCACTTATACATGTGGTAATTATTGAATTATGGGAATGTTTTCCTTGTAACTGTATGCGTAGATGTTGAGAACATTAATTGTAGGTGACTCCTTCAAAATTCAAAAGCCCTCATACATGATGATTTCAATCTCTAATAGCTATGTCAAGCGCTTATTAACATTATGGTGAATAGAAGTGCCACCTAAACCTTGTTTATTTGTCAAATTTAAGCTCAAGCTTAAGGCAACTGAAGCTTCACTCAACTCATTTAGACACCTGACCTATATCCATGGGAAATAAGAGAGAAATTGATCCACTAACAGGAAGTTATTATAGTAGTACAAATAAATAGGGCACAAGAAAATATTCTTCCTCGAACTGAAGTACACCCACCTAACTACAAAGATACACCAAAAAGCTCTCAAGTCAAACAAATAAAAAAAAAACATTCTGATACCTTGTAAAAACATAAGAACCGCACAAAGAGATAATACACATAAAATATATAGACCAAATAAGATTTTAAGTTTAATGCTACTTGAATGAGGCACCAAATAAGTTTTCTTTCTCTTCTTCTCACCCCTTTTTTATATTTCTCATCAATAGCTAACAGCTCCTAAGCACACCTGCGCTTCTCATTTCTTTCTTCTAAATATTTATTTGGAGATGATCCATGATAATAAAAATTGCAACAAATTTTTAGCTTATTTTTATCCAAAAACAAATGATAATTTCTGTTTTTCTAAAATTGTGTTTAGAATTTTGTGCTTATCTTGAAAATATTATTAAGGCAATATCCTAACACAACTTTATTCCCTCGACTCCGAATCCTCTTTCCATGTCACTCCAAGTCAATTAACATCATAAAAGACTAAATCACCTTTCATATTTGAACAAATATAACCCATTTCTCCAAGAAAAACAAGATTCCTCTTTGACTACATGTCCTGTTAAGGCAAGGTACCCTCCTAAGAATGCTTAGTAATGAAAATCACCGGGAAGTGAACAAGCCACTAAGACCTTGTCTAGAAAACTAAGTCTTGTTTTGCTAGTTAAGCATGCATTCGAAACTAAAATTGTGATGTTACTCACATTTATTGCATTAAATACATTTTTATGGTATTATCGTATTTTAACACTTGCTACTTCCCAAATCATAAACTTTAGCCAAAAAGGAATATAACTAAATGGCCTTTGCAACTGAATTCCATTCCATCCTAAAATCTCTTAAGCCATTTATCTCTATTGATTCTTAGGATTTCCTATACATGTTTCAAACTGAATAAAACTTGTTGTACCCATTGCCAAATCTCTACAGCAAGGGGTAAATATAGCTTTCTAGAGATTTATAACTTCATAAACCCAGGGACAACCAATTCATTGGTACCATTATCAAATAGGAAAGAAAAATGAACCATTGCATCACTTCTTGAACCAAAAAACTTCGTTTCCCTATTCGGATAATGGACAAAGGTCATTAAATAATAAGAAAAAATACATAGCATTTTTATTGCCAGAAATGAACGAAACATGTTAATTACACATTCGCACTAGAATAAATACTAAACCAGGCATTCCAATTAGAAGACAACAGATAATCATATAACGCTTATTATAGTGGGCACATGTCCTGATAGACATGTCAGTCAACAGCCAACACCTATAACTCGCCAAATCCCCACAAATCATATAGGAAAAAAGAGACCAAAGGCTTTCATTTACAAAATCTTTTCTTCCTTGCAGGTAAACACTTTCCTGAGCATAAAACCAGCCTTGCTAAACAATCGACAACTTATTAAACATGAAAAAGGAAACATTCAAAGGGAATAAAAGGTCAACCTACAATTCCCTTCCCTTCGAATGTTTTTTTTTTTTTTTTCGATAGAAATTCAAGAAACCTCCATTAAGCTCAGAAACCCTAGTCCGTTTAAACCCTCGAACTGTAAAGAAAGAAACAAGGTTCAAATATGCACCTGCCAGACGCGGCGAAGCCGCTTCTTTGCGTTGTTCTTGCGGGTGGTCGTGAGCTTTATCTTCTTCCATAGCAACCCCGGCGAGTCGTTCCTCCTCACTATCTGTAATACGCGAGTACCCCATAACGCTCCAAAGCCTACCATCTCTTCTTCTACGTCTCTTGTAAAATCCTGGCCTTATTGCTTAGGCCCGCTGGCCAACTAAGCAGCTGCACAATTAAAAGACTGCTGCATTTTAAATGAAGCCTTCAAAGAAATTTTAAACCTTATAATTTAAAAAAAAATCATTTAGAAGATAATAAGTTATTGTCAAAGAAAATCGATTCACGAATATCCAATCTATTCTGTAATTAGAGATGTCAAAATTTGATCCGAATACGGCACTAAATTTTTTGTTCGATTTGACCCGAAAATTTGAAATCAACCCATTTTTGACCTGTTAGGCCATCTCGTCACGTCATGTCGCGGTTAGGGACTCATCAGTCCATCGCGTCTTCTTAGAGTGTCACCGCGTTAGGGCTTCGTCGCGTCCGTTTGTTGCAATGCCACATTGTTGTCGCATTTGTCGTCTCGACGCTGCCCTCCGCCGGCCTGCCGCCAGGGCATCATCAAGTTTTTTTTTTTTTTTGTCGAATGAATTGTCGAACACTGCCCTCCGCCAGCTTGTCGTGACCATCTGTCGGCCTGTCGTTCATCTTCTTTTAGTTCCTCCGGTAGATAATCCTTTAGCATGCCCTCGCACGCCTGCTTCGGCTTGCCATTTGCGCTTCTTCTTGCGGTGGACCAATTTCTTCTTTTCGTGTTGGGTCGGGTTGACCCGAATAGTTCCAAGTCAATTCGGATTCAACCCGAACCCAACCCGTGACCCAAAATTGACACCCATATCTGTAATTATTGTAACTTATGTATATATGCTATTTTAATTATTATAATTTTTAGATTAATTGTAATAATTAATTAGTTTGATAATCGCTTTGTCTTATCTGTAATCTGATTAATAATTTGATATCAAATTTGACTCTAATTATTTAAGGGACTGTTCGGCAAATAAATATTAGTAAATGCTAAAATTGGAATTTAATAAATTCGTAAAATTATAGATAGTAAGATGATTTAAATGTTTATTTTATAATTAATATATTTATATGATTGTGGGAATCTATTAAATCTATTTGATCACTGCCAATTATTATTAGTTTACTTAAATTATAATTAAAAAAATAATATATCTATTAATTAAAAAATAATGTATTTATATTTAATTTATTTGACTGAATTTTAATAAATTTATAATCAAAATTAAATTAATTAATAATTAGAGTAAGATTATATTCTAAATTATCATTAATTAATTGCTTTATTAAGATAATCAAAATTAAATTAATTAATATTATATGCATTATTATAATTAAAATATTTCATCTTCTCTTTACTGTCGTTGTTGTTCGGCTTCATTGCTTCGCAGCGGCCGTAAAGATTGCACGCGTGGTTTCTTCGACTGCTGTTCGACTTCGCTCCTTCGACGACTTTCCCTCACTAGCCTTGAAGGTAACTTTTTCCCTTTCGCGCGCTTCTTAGGCCAAATCCCATAAATCCGCCGAACGGAGGGATTTAGTAAATATAATTAAAAATAAAAAATATAATGTGTTATAAATTTAATAATATGTTAAGTACAAATTATCTATTAATTTTTATTTATACAATTAATTATATATATAATAATAGATATATTAAGTAATATTAATTAATCTAATTATATTAATATTTAATTAGTAAGTACTAACTATATAACTAAGTTAAATTAGATAATTAATTTATGTACTAATTATAAATTAACTATTTAATTAATTTAATTAAGTATTAATAATTTAAATTATATTAATTAAGTTAATCAATATTAGAAGCGAGTAGGGCTGCCTTTCATCTTCTCTTTTCGTCGTTGCTGTTCGGCTCCGTTGCTTTCGCAGGAGGTGTAGGGATTGCAGGCGTCGCTTCTTCGGCTCCTTCGTGGCTGTTCGCCTTCGCTCCTGCGACGACTTCAACCCGGATCGGAAGTTACGAAATTTTGATCGGAAGCAAGAACGGGAGCTCGCTGGCTGTGAAGGTAACTTTCTCCCTTTCGCGCGCTTCTTCGGATAAATCTCGGCTACCCCTCGGATTTACTAAATCCCGGATTTTAGCTGTAAATCCGTTAATCCGGGATTTACTGAATCCCGGGATTTAACGCGCGCACAAAAACTGTTTGGCTGGATTTAGCGTAAATCTGACTTAAATCCCGCTGTAAATCCGATACCAAACAGCCCCTAAATCCTGTTCAAATCCCGCACAAACAGCCCCTAAATTTTACCAATTTGATAATTCCTCCAGCTGAATAATGTGAAATTAATACCAAGTTAATTATTTAAAATGTAATAAAGCTCTTATTTATGGATTGAAAATTCTTGTTAGGATGAGTTTATTATTTAAAATAGCTTAAATTTATTAGAGTGGATATTTTCTGTTTTTCTGTATGAGTCGATGTTGTCCATTTGATCAATGTGTTAATGCATTCATATAGGTTGTGCTAGGGAATCATAGCTTTGGTATGAATTTTTTGCAATTTAATCATTATTGGCCTGAGAAGTTGACTCAACATGTCTTTAATATTTAAGTAAGTTATTATGTTGATTTAATCCAAATATTTGGAGAGTTCTTTTTGGGGTTATAGGTAGAGAAGCCTAAATTTAGAATTATAATTTCTATTTATACACTGTCCTTTAATCTTGTAATCATATTGTCATAATTAGTTAAAATTACTAGTTTGGTTTAGGAATCCTTATAAATTTACTCATTTTAAGAGCTATGATTAAGTGTGTTAAAAGAGGAAAGAAGGTGATGGTTTACCTTAATCCTTACTCGTGAAGTATTATTGGTACATGCATTCTTAAAACTCGGTATGCTCATTCTATTATTTTATCATCAGTGACTATAGCATGCTTTTTTTACCTGTTTATAGTAATGCATCACCTTATGTTTATTTAGAGCTATCATATTGTTTATTTGATTCTTCCAAACATTAAGCATCTATAAGAGAGCATGTTATAAGCTTTCATGTTTATTATTTTGATGTATTGTATCTTTGATTGCTATATGATTGATATGATAAAAATATTATTAAACTACATGAGATAATATTAACTTCAATTTGTATGGCTAATATGTATTAGTGGCATGTTATTTGTGTTTCTCATTTTTTTTATGGATTAATGAGTTCATTCATGTCATACAGGATGTCTTAGGGTCTAAGGTTTTCATATGCAAATTATATACTTTTGAAGAGAGGAAAAATGATTTGATTTTGTGCATATTTCCTTGAGAGTCTTGCATTATACAATAGAAATCTATGTTACTCTTGGTAATTTCTGCCCTTAGAAACTATTAATTAAATTGTAATCTGTTAGATCGGTCCATTGGACCGGTCCAGCCGGTCCACACGGGACCGGCCCAGCGCAATAGAGGCGGAACTTCTCCGCCTCTTGCACATGCCGCGTGAGCCGCCACAGCCAACAAAGCACTTTAGGAAGGATTTTTGAGGGATTTGGTAAGGAAATTTGAATGTATGGACTGTTTAGGGTTTTCCTTTTGATTTACATGCATTAAATACTTTGTTTTTCTATGGTTAAGGGATCTTGAATTTGGCTAAAATTTGATCTCTTAGATTTAGGTTTTCTTTAAGGCTCTAGCGGCGTTTAGAGATTTGGGAGAGATCGATCATCCTCTCAAATAGAGGATTGTTAGACCTGTCCATTGGACTGGTCCAGCCGGTCCACACGGGACCGGTCCAATGCAACAGAGGCGGAACTTTTCCGCATCTTGCGCATGCTGCATGAGCCGCCTTATCCAACGGAGCATTTTAGGAAGGATTTTTTAGGGATTTGGGAGGGAAATTTGAATGTAGGGATTGTTTAGGGTTTTCCTTTAGATTTATATGCATGAAATACTTTGTTTTCCTAGGGTTAGGGCATCTTGCATTTGGTTGAAATTTGAGATCTCTTAGATTTAGGTTTTCTTTTGGTCTCTAGCGGCGTCTAGGGATTTGGGAGAGATCGATCCTCTTGAATAGATGATCAATTGTATTTTGCTATTTTCCGTTTCCTTTTCATCATATAATACAAATTATATATTGTTTTCCTATTTTTGTGTGGATTTTGGTGGAGAATTCTCTCTGTTTTCCGAAAATTGATAGGAAATACTTAAGATCTACAAGTATTTCCTATCATAATCAAAGTTATAGGATGGAATATGTAAGGATTAATCATGTTTCTATATACATAACTATGGAAATAACGAGGATATTCTACGACTTACACATTTATTTTTCATGTAATATGAGAGAGATTTCTAAACCTTGAAAAAACCCACAGATTGCTAACTCGTCCACATAGATTACCAGCTTTGCAATCTCCCAAATTTCCAAGTTGGCTTCTAGAACCACTAGAACTCCTCAAGATATAGAGTGATATTCTTCATGCCTTACTTGGACATGATATTTTGATATGTACAGTTTGATAGCACTTTGGTCAGGATGTCGGCCAACTATTTGGTTTTGATGTAGGGGCAATGAATAAGGTAGCATTTTCACTAATGGGATGTGTTTCTAACATTACCCACACTTTTTTCCTTCTTCATTTTTAATGGGGGAGAAGAATTCATTTAGGTTGGAAATGGAGTATATTTCAGCCATTTGAATGCATGTTTGATCATAGTGGGTATTTAGTCCAACTAAAAATTCAAAAATTCTTTCTTCTTCAGAAGTTTGTAACTGTTCAACATCTTCATTGCAACTCATTTTTATACGTTGGTATTAATCGAGTTTGAGCCACATATTTTTCATTTTTTTATAATACTCAACAATTGAATGGTTAATTTATTTGTTGATGTGAATTTTTGTCTTAATTTTATAGACTAAGGCGTATCATGCCCCTTGGAATATGTTTACTTCACTGCATCTTATATATCTTTGGCTTTGATGAGGAGCATGTAGGTTTTGTTTAGTTATGGTACCATTGTATTCCTTAATTAGGACATAATTGAGGAATCTTTTACTTCCCATGTGGCAAAATGAATTTCATTTTCACTTAGAATTCGTCTAATATGGTGGCCCAACTTTTCCTTGAAAGATTTTTACAATTTGAGTCAAAATAAAGTAGTTTATTTCATTTAATTTGATTGAAGATTGAAGGTTTGGTACTCACATGCTAAGCTTCATTAGAATCATTTGATTGGTCTTTAGCTCTTGCTGTAAAAGAGATTTTCTTAAAGAAAAAATATTTTCCTCTATTTTATTTTAGAAAGAACAAGGTTGAGGTCTTATTGATTTGGGGGACATCAAGTGGTGCTAGGATACGGAAAAAGAGAGGCAGAAGTAGTTAGAAGACAGATCTTGGGATTACAGGCCAGAGGTAGAAGGAGGTAATGCTAGTATTCTTTTGTTCTTATAGCTCTGATACCATGAATTGTGATGAAATGATATGATTTGTGTGTATTTCGTTGAGAGCTTTGCACCTCTATTTATACATAATTCTAGATTACTCGTTGTAATTTCTACCTATGAAAACTACTAATAATATAGTAATCATATGAAAAAATTCTCTCGACATAATATACAAGGATTAACCATTTTTCTATATTTTTAGCTACGGAAATAAGGAAGATATTCGTTCATGATTATTCAAAAATATTATACGTTGGTTGTCGACTACCTAATGTAACCCTCCACTTTTCTCATCCAGGCCTTGTGACCCGGCAACGACAGTGTTAAATAAGAAAGATATTCTACATCATGAAAATTTGGGAAAGATTTTGACTCATTGTAAAGGCCCAAGGATTTTCACTTTCTCTAAACTGATAGACTACCAACTTTGCAATCACACATATTGCAAGTTGGCCTCTAGAGTTGCTACTAGATATAATGCAAAATTCAAGAACTAAAACTTAAATTTGCAATTCATAAACTATCGATATAGGAAATTAATTTTCACCTTTAGATGAAAACTATATATTGTAAAATCCACTCAAGCTATAATTTAAGGAATGTTTAATAGAAGACATATGCATAAAATCAGAACTATAAAAATTTACTTTGATTAGAACTCATACCATTAACAAGAAAATTTTGTTGTATGGTTTTTGAGAAAATTCATTCATGCAGGAAAACAAATAACTAAAATTATAGTGTTGAAAAATGCAAGGAAAGAAATCACAAAATAGTATGTAGGTTTAATTCTAGCATTATCAAATATAATCTTCTAAAAGTTTGTAGTCACAAATTTATCCTAATTTGAAAGAATTACATCCAGTCAGTACTCAAGTCCTGACTCCCTATATGTAATGGGTCGTGACTTTAACAATCATGTTGTTGAACCATGATTTTAAAATTAAAGTCTTCACCAATCTTCTAATCGCTGTTGATTTAAGTAAATATAGAACTCCAAAACTAAACTAAATCAGTGTAGAAGATGAAATCAAACCCGAGGGGAGAAAGGCATAGAATATTATAGAATACAGCTCGTTCTAGCATTGTTTGTTTATATTTGAAGAAATTAAGTTCATAAATTAATTGATAACATGTGACTATGAATCATTTATTTCATTTGCATGAAATAATAGTATACATTATATTAGTTATATTAGGAAGCCTCTAACCCTCAAAATTGTTTTTACATTAGCTAAGCTGCACTAATGACTTATTATTTTGGCAGATGGTTGTTAGGCGAGAAAATATGGAGACTGAAAACATTAATATTGGAATAAAGCAGGTATGCCATATTTCTTCCATTGCAAGCCAATTTTATTTCATTGCATTGATAAAATTTATTTATATAATGCTTTTATTTTGTTTTGTGCTTTCCGATGTTTAAGGTGTGTTTATTGAAAATACCTTTTTTGATATTTCATTTCTATTTATTATTTTCTTTTTTGGTTAGTCAAACTAAGTCAAAGATTTCAGGTTTTTGTTACGTCTATTAGAAATTGAATTTGTATTATTGTTATCTTTGGAATCAAAATTTGTCTACTGAAAGTTGGAATCGAACAAACTTCATTCTTTTTTTGATATCCTAATTAGTTTGTCTGCTAATTAAATTTACAGGAAAATTTAGAGGAATTAGATCCAAAAGCAAAAAAGTACCTACGAGGAGATGGCGCTAACCTGGAGGTATACGTTTCTTTTTTGGGATTTGTCTGAGCAACAGATATTAACGTTGCAAGCATATTTACTAGATTTGAATGGCCTTTTTTCTTGATGTCTGACAATCTTTTTCATTTTATTTAGGTATTACGGGATAAAAGGTTGAAAGGGCAACTCAGTGTTAAAGAAAAGTTATATGGTCAATCTGCAAAAGCTGCTGCTATGGCTGAAAAGGTTTCCTTGTTTCTCCTATTTACTAAGATTATAATTATGATATTTATGTGGTAGTTATTGCAGGTTAAGTAGATCCTTTCAATTGATAGAAGCGTCTTTCTATTTTCAGTGATGATTATAGCATAACATTTCATGCAATATTTTTGTTGAATGGAGTGTAATTTTAGTAATAATAGATCTAGTGCCGGGATTGTGACTTTGGGTGATCAAGTCATTAATAAGAGTACACATTTTTATCTTCGGTCTCTTATTCAAAGTGATGGTTTAGTAGATGGGAATATTATTAGTAGAATTCAAGTTGGATGTTTGGAGTGGAGGAATGCATCGGACTTGTTGTGTGATAGAAAAGTCCCCCTCAAAGATAAGGGAAAATTCTATAAGATGGTGGTTAAACCAGCAATGATTTGTGGTGCAGAATGTTGGTCATTAAAAGAGAAGGCATAGTATTCAGTTAAGTGTTGCATAGATGAGAAGCTCAACTGAATGAGTGGCTTTACTTAGAGTCAAGATACGAAATGAGCATATACATGAAAATGTTGGAGCAGCTCCAATGGAAGATAAGATTAGAGAGAGTCGCCTTAGATGATTTGGCCACATAAAATGGCGGCCTTCCGATGACCCGGTTTGAAAAGTAGATGTATTAGATTTGATTTATATAAGAAAGGTAGAGGTAGACCTAAAATACTTGATTAAATTTTTTTTTGAAATGACCTTTTTTCATTAGATTTAAATGAGAATTTAACTCTTAAATGGAGAAAAAACATTTATATAGCCGACCCCACATAGTGGGATAAAAATTTGATGTTGTTGTTGTTGAAGTTTGTTCTTTTTAGTTCTGGAAGCACACTGTTATATTTTGAGGAATATAGAACCACTATTTGCAAATTAAGGTCAACAATAATTTAGTTAACTGATGCAATTTTGATAGTATGTGTTGGCTGTAGATTCAACTTATTGATGGACCAGATCCTAAACCTTGATGTGAAATAGTTAGGATTACTTTCTAATAAATTGTCAGAATCAATGTCTAACATGTTTGAAGCACTATGGATGGCTGAAAGCTATGATATGTTGAAGGAATATGTAAATTAGTTAGTGGTGTAATGAAAGAGGATTCCTGACTAGCAATTACAATTTTGGTGCATTTGGTTGCAAGATTGAGATGTTTTTGGCCACCACTAGTTCTTTTCTTCAAAAAGTATAGTGCCACTCGGAGCAATAAAATTTCCCTGCTTCTTTCAGTATATTCATTAATAGAGTTTGTAAAACCGTTGAATCTCACCAAAACATTAAGTTTTCTTAACATATATAAAGCATGAAACTATACTTATTACAGTGGATTGCTTAAACATCTAAGCGTGGATACAGCAGCATCCAAATAAGGAAACGGTTTCACAAATTTCCCCTCAATTTCATTACACTAATAATAAAAGGTTGTTATTTCCAATACATTTCCAAAAACTCAATAACATCAGCAAATACCAAAATGAGGCCTTGCGTTAGAAAATCCGAGCACCGGTGAACCAACTCTGGGAAGTGTACTCCTTATATTTGCATTGCTTCTCCAGTTGCTCTTCGTCTTTTATTTGTTTTGGTCAGCGACCATCATCACCATGAGAAAGTGGCATAGGAAAGAATTTAAAATATTTGGGAAAAACATTTTTACATTTGTCTTACTTACAAAGAATCAAACAGGGTTCAGAGAAAAGTCCATAAATGAATTTTGAATGTGTTGAAATCGTGTATTCTATTAACGTGAATAAAAAAGATCATTATTTTCAATGCTGACATTTCTCAAGTTATCAAGTAAAAAGGATCTGGAAAAAGATTCATAATTTTAAGCACTCACTTTATTAAGCTATTTAAATCATTCTTTAATGGAAAAAAATAAGTTCTAACTTTAAGTTAATACAAGCATGCTCATTGGCATCTTAGGTGTAGTATTTACCTCTTTCAATTCCTTCAAAACAAGTGGTGCCTTAAAAGAGGGATTTCTTTTTTTCAGAGAAAAGGAAGCCAAGCGAATAGCAAACAAAATGATTAAAAAAATATAAAACAGAGAAATCAGCTCTTTCAATATTAAGTAACAGAGCTTTTTCTCAAGCAAAAGTTAAGAGAAATAAGACCATAGAGAAAAGGAATGGTGATATTTCATGAATCGGACCCATTTCAGGTGTTGATGTAGAGCTTTAAGAGTACAAAAAAATGTGAGAACTAGAACCAAGAAGAAAAAGGATGAAAATACCTTATAAGCCGTCTTTCAGTGAGGAAGGAAAATCGTTGAGGGTTCATTGACACTCTTGGTGAAATACAAGCAGAGGATGGTAGCGCTAGGAATAGATTTGATGGAGAGAAAGGGAAGATGTGTTGGAGGTGTTGTGAAATCAGAAACATCTAGAGGGAAGAGAATATTCTTGCATCATGTGTGAGGAGATTTTTTCTCTACAATTTGCTGTAGGCTTTCAAAGTGAGCTATCAGGGGATTTGCATTTATTTTCAGCTCCCTAGGTAATTACATTTTCTATTAATTTCATAGAAGCGAATGAGTCCAAATAAAATAGTAAAGTAAAACATATTTGCATTTTACTTAACTATATAAAAAGAAACAGCGCCTAAGTGAAAAGTAAAAAATATTTTTTTTTTAGATTTCTCGAACCTAGGTTGTAACTTGTAACTAAACACTTTTTTGAACTTGAATAACTTCTCAGCGAGCTGTATGAAAAATTTTCCCGATTCCAATATGAATGAATTTTAGGTGCCATACTTGTGAAGAATCAAACTACATTTGAGGCTGAGATTGCTGCGAGAGCTTTGATGATGAATTGAGTCCCATTACGTCTAATGGAACATTATATGTCAAGAAATTGAAATGGGTTCTGTAATTCAGTTTTCACATTTCTTTAGTATTTTATTATGTAAAAGCACTATCTTTTTTATTCCTAGAAAGTGTTCATAACAGTTTATATTTATAATAACTATCTTAAACAATTTATAGTGGCTTTTACCTACTGAGCACGGCTATTTGGAGGCTGAAGGTCTAGAAAAGACATGGAGGATCAAGCAAGAAACTATCCTTCAAGAAGTGGATATTATTAGTTCAAGGAAACCATTCGATATGGTCTTGAAAGGTAGAAAATGAAACCTACTTTTGCTTATCTCTTAGGGTTTCCATAAACTTTCCATATTTTTATTTTTTATTTACATTTCTTCAATATTTTTTCCTTATTTCTGTTATTTATGTTTATTCTCTGCTTTTCATTAGTCCCTCATTATGATATGTTTTTGAAATTGTTAGAGCACCCTAAACCTGTTTTGTGCTTTGTTTTCTGTTTTGAATAATTGGGAACAACAAACAAATGTTGTAGTAAATGTCTTTGTTTCCTGTGAACTCCAATAGAATTTCGGATAAAAATATATATAATTACAATAGTAAATTGACAAAATTAAAATTGATACCGAAGGACCCCTTCATTGCATGTATTATTTTGTTAGCAATATCATTGATTGGCTACGTTTCCCTATGGCTTTTCTTGCTTCAATGGAAATGATTTGTCAAGCAACTAAGATCATGGTTGACGATCCAAATTCTGAAAAAAAAAAAAACTGCAGTGGATTGGTCATCGTTCCTAAATTTCTTTCTTTATATATATATATATTTTTCTGTGTTTTAGTTCTCATTTCTTTTGAAATAAACTTGCAGATTTAGGTCCCTACAGGTTGGATTATACATTGAGTGGCCGATATATGCTTGTTGGAGGACGAAAGGGCCATTTGGCTATGATAGATATGATTACTATGGATCTCATAAAAGAATTTCAGGTATGATTATTTTTCACACTTCTTTTATGGCATCTCATTTCAGGTATGATTATTTTTCATGCAATCTTTTATGGTATTTCTATCATTGATATCCGGATGATTATGCCCTGGTAATGCGTTGTAGCCTTTAACTATATTTTTATTATTATTATCAAAGTGAAGTGAGACAAAGGCTTGATGTTGATGTTATTTTATTATCAAAGTGAAGCTATGGTGTATGATATGTATCTTTTCTTTAGAAGGCTCTATAGCCCATTGATAAAATTTTGTGAATCTAAGCTTTCATTGGCCCTTATTTATTCATGCTGAAATCTGAATCACATTTCTTCATCGTTAACTGTGTTAATCACATGTTACATTAAACTAGGCTATGGCCAGCGAACGGCTCATTATAAGAACTTGAAGAGCTAGGTAGCATATGGATGATTTTCTCTTGAAAATGCCATACAAGAGGATATGCCTCTGATAGGAAATACTTGAGTTCGCAAGTAACCCTAAGGTAATACTTGAGTTCGCAAGCAAACCTAACCAAAATCAGCACAAAACGAAGAGGAAACTGCTGTTTTGTAACAGAAAACAGCAGTTTTTCAGTAGAAAACAGCAACGTACAGCAAATCAGTGGAAGAAATCTCAAGCAAAACAAGATCTTTCATTAAAGGATTCAAAAAAATAATAAAACATACACGTTCCTTCGATTCGAGAGGAAGAAACAACTCTCCAAATCTCTAGCAAACCCTAGAGCCCAAGAAGAACAAACCCTAGATCTCCAATTTCATTCAAATTCAAGATAGTCTAAATCCCTCCAAAACTTCTACTTGAAAAGAAAGGACTCAAGCAAATTCCCTAAACAACCCTTCCCTCAAATAATTTTCCCTCCAAACATTGCATTTAACCCAAGGTGGGCTCCACATGGCTTCCGCCCTCCCTGCCAGCTCCGCCTGGAGCTCCCCTCTTCCTCACGTAGAACCGGACCGGTCTGGTCTGGACCGGTCCAACCAGACCCGGCGTAACATTACCGCCCTCCCAAAGAATCACCTTGTCCTCAAGGTGAAATTCGGGAAACTGTTGTATCATCCTCTCGTGTGGTTCCCATGTGGCATCGAATTCAGGAAGCCCTTTCCATGCGATCAACACCTCTTTGTTTCCTTCCTGGTCCAGTCTAACACCTTTCAGCTCCAGAGGTTCTAGGCTCACTTCCATCTCCTCAATTAATGTTTTTGGCAGTTCAGCACTGCTTGCATACTCCCCAATGGCTTTTCTCAGCTGTGATACATGAAATACTGGATGTATAGTGGCCGAAGGGGGTAATTTCAAATGGTATGCCACTGCCCCAATTTTATCTAATATCTCATAGGGGCCAAAATACCTTGGGGATAACGTCTCATTTATTCTGTTGGCCAAGGTTCTCTGTCTGTAGGGCCGTAGTTTTAGAAACACCTTCTCACCTACTTCAAATTGGATATCCCTTCTGTGTGCATCCGCCTGTTTCTTCATGATCTGTTGTGCCTTCATCAGATGTTTCTTCAACTCCTCCAACATCCTATCCCTTTCTTCCAAATGCTGCTCTACTGAAGATACGGGTGTGCTTCCCCTTCCATAATGCACCAAATGTGGCGGATCTCTTCCATATAACACTCTAAAAGGGGTCATCCGGGAAGCTGAGTGGTACGAGGTATTGTACCAATACTCTGCCCAGGCCAACCATTTGGCCCATATCCTTGGTGTTTCAGAAGCAAAACACCTTAAGTAAGTTTCCAAGCTCCGATTTACAACCTCTGTTTGCCCGTCTGTTTGCGGATGGTAGGCTGTGCTCCTTTTGAGAATAGTCCCCTGTAACCTGAACAGCTCCCTCCAAAACTGGCTGAGGAACACCTTGTCGCGATCAGACACTATCGACTCTGGAATTCCATGTAATCTAACCACTTCCCTGATGAAAGAAGCCGCCACTGTCACTGCAGTGTAAGGGTGTCGAAGGGGTGTGAAATGTGCATACTTGCTCAGTCTATCAACCACCACCATAATAACAGTGAATCCCTCCGATCGTGGTAGGCCATCCACGAAATCCATGGACACTTCCTCCCATACTCTATTTGGAAGCGACAAGGGCTGTAGTAACCCCCCTGGAGCCATCGCCATATACTTGTTTCTCTGACACACTTCGCACCTCGCCACTGTCTCCTGCACTTGCTTATGCATTCCTTTCCAGTATAATTCTGCGGCCAGCCTCCGGTATGTCTTTTCTACCCCAGAATGACCTCCAATGGCGCTCCCATGAAACTCCTGTAATAGCTGGGGAATGTGGATGGAATTTTGTGGTATCACAAACCTTCCTTGGTGCAACAATCTCTCCCCCTCAAGGGTGTAGCTTGGGTGGCTGCTCTTATCCTTCAATAGATCCAATCGGATCTTCTTCAATTCTTCATCATGCTCACTCTCTCTCTGGATTTCCCCCCAATCCACCATTAGGGGTACCGACATGGTTACCGCCTGTAGCTCTCCCCCACACCTGGATAAGGCATCAGCCGCCTTATTCTCCAACCCTGGTCGGTACTGGATCTCAAAATCGTATCCCAATAGTTTAGACAGCCACCTCTGATGTTCCTCTGTCACCATCCGTTGTTCCAACAGGTATTTCAGGCTCCTCTGATCCGTCCTGACGACGAAATGCCGTCCTAGCAGGTAGGGTCTCCACTTCTGAATTGCCAATACTATGGCCATCAATTCCCGTTCATATACAGACTTCAGTCTTGCTCTTGTTGCCAACACCTGACTGAAGTAGGCAATGGGTCTATGCTGCTGCATCAGCACCGCCCCCAACCCATACCCGGATGCGTCTGTCTCCACCACGAACGTCTGACTGAAGTCTGGTAGGGCCAAAACTGGTACCGTGGTCATTGCCTTCTTAAGCTTCTCAAAAGCTTGAGTAGCCGCTTCTCCCCACAAGAAACTATCCTTCTTTAACTGCTCTGTCAAGGGCAAGGCTATGTTGCTGTACCCTTTCACAAACCTCCGGTAGTAGCCCGTCAGTCCCAGGAATCCCCTCAGCTCCCTCAAGTTCCTAGGTAGAGGCCACCGTTGCATGGCTTCGATCTTGGCTGAATCAGCTGCCACCCCTTCCTTAGATACCAAGTGTCCCAGATACTCCACACTCTTCTGGGCGAAGCTACACTTCTTCAGATTGGCTTTAAACTCGTGCTCCCGTAGCACTCCAAAGACCACCTTCAAATGCTCCTGGTGCTCCTCCTCGGATCGACTGTACACCAGTATGTCATCGAAGAAAACTAGTACAAACCTCCGCAGGTACGGCCGAAACACCCTGTTCATCAAGGATTGGAAAGTGGCTGGAGCATTGGTAAGCCCAAATGGCATCACCAAGAACTCATAGTGCCCCTCGTGTGTCCTGAATGCCGTCTTCGGAATATCCTCCCCTTTCATCCTGATTTGGTGGTAGCCCGACTTCAAATCCATCTTAGAGAACACTACTGCTCCATACAGCTCATCCAGTAGCTCATCGATCACCGGAATGGGAAACTTATCCGGCACAGTTTCCTTATTCAATGCCCTGTAATCCACGCAGAATCTCCAGCTACCATCCTTCTTTTTAACCAGTAGTACAGGACTAGAGAAAGGACTCACACTTGGTCTGATGATCCCCGCGTCCAACATCTCCTTAATCAGCTTCTCGATCTCGTCCTTCTGAATTTGGGGGTAACGATAGGGTCGCACA